GCAGGCGCAGCAGGCCTCGTTGGCAGCCATGCCGCTGTAGGTCCGAAGCATGGAATCCGAATCACTCGAAGAGGAGTCGTTGGAGCCGTTGCCGACTGACAAGAACATCTGCCCCTTTCGGCAGACACCGATTGTCTCATACTGGTGGCAGGTCTGAGGTGCTGAGAATGGAAGGTTTTCGCACAGTTGGCAAGTGGTCTGGTTGGTGCCAGGGTGTACGAAGGGGCTGAAGCCCGTAGCGCATTCATTGCATGAGTCGCTTGCTGGGTCGTACTCGACGCAGCCGGCGCAGGACAGACTTGCAGTCGGGCAACACTGCTGGAAAACTTTCCCGTCTCGGAAGTTGTTGAGGAGGAGCTCTTGGCACTGCAATGGAGCATCGCTGGCCACGAACTCAAGCTTTGCATGCTTGGCCGTTGCATGCATGTACGAGATCTTCGACGTAATTGCGTGCATTAGCGGAGCCGCTAAGAGTGCCAGCCCGGGCTTGCACTGCTTTGGCTCCTGGGCGTGCAGGGCTATGAGGTTAACAGGGCAGACAGGGTCCAAAACGAAGACAAGTTTCCGAGTTCGTGAGCATGTCGTTCCATGTCTTGCACGGAGCCCGCAACATAACATGATCTGCAGTCAAGTGTCTACGGAAGGCAGCGTGCGTGAGGCCCACCACGGCAAGGAAAAGTTGCCTGCACCACCTGCTTGTGGCAGAGCATCAGCTGATTCGGCCGCCTCCTCCACCAAAGCTTTCGAGCCCTGCAACATGTGCTGCAGCACGCTGGAGCTTTGGGCTGGGCAGTCATCGGCAAACGCAAGAGCTGCAAGGACACAGCAGCTAAGCGACAGCGCGGAGCGCTGCAACATCAGCGGTAAATCTCAGAATCTGGGTGGCGATAGCCACGCAGGGCGATAAAGACTTTGAGACGCACATGCGCTGCGGTCGAACCATTCACATGTCGCTGCTGCTGCGCATGAAAAGTGTACCGTTAACATACCTGGAACCTTGCAAGGCGGCGTGCAAAGACATGTCTCGAGGAAGTTTCTACAGTTGGCACGGAGAGATGTTTGGGCGAACGCTCGGGGGAATACTCTGTGCCAAGATACGCAGGGCAGACATTGATCAAATTGGCACCTCATGTTGCCGTTTAGCAGCATGTCTGTGCTGCCCCCCACGCAATTGTGAAACGCACTGATCAAGTCGCCTGGTTCAAGTTTGTTGGCTCAAGGTTGCTATCTCATCGAAAGGCAGCGCTTCATCGCACAAACCACATGTCTGGGTGGCTACTCATTCGACTCAAGCTTGATCAGACGCACTCCACACAAAGCCTGTGAACTTTGCGCAGAGTCATTCACTCATGGTCTCACTTCCAGGCACAGGAGCTTCAGAACGACAGGCGCCGAGTCGCTGCAGTTGGTCCTCACCCAAGGCGCGCATTTTCAGGCCATGCGGGGATAAACGGAGTACAGCATGGCACAACCCTCTTGAGTCTGGGGCCAGCCAAGGCAACTTGCTCTTGGTGGCGCTGCTGACACGCCCTTCTCTGGAAGGGAGCGGCAGCAGTTGTAAGTCCTGAGCAAGTCGGGAAGGATAGCGACAAGCGTGACCTAGCATGCATCCAAGACGTCACTCCTCTGAATCTGCAAAGACTTCTGAGGCGACGAGGCCTGAGAAGGGCCGACAAAGCGTGCTTCCTTCTGGTGGGTTTGCCGGTGCGTCACAGCAGCTCTCAATGAGAGTCCGACACTGTAATATCCGGATCGATCTCTTTGCCCATGAGCATCAGCGAATCAGTGCTACGTCTTTCGCAGAGATATTGCTTGCATGAGCATATCCCGTTGAGTCACCTATGTGCATGCATCGGATTGCTTGGTCAGCATAACATAGCCTTTTCCGCAGCAATCGTCTCGGTATGCCCAGATTGGGCACTCCGGTACATGGCATGAATTGTATCCACCACCTGGCACAGGCAGAACACACCAAGAGATGGACGACCCAGTGGCTTTGCAATGGCCACGAGTGGACACCAGCACAACTGCAACACTCTACAGTTCCGGTACTTCTATGTCCGTGCGCCAGGTTGACGTGCAACATGGCAGGTGACACTCATCTCAACCAATGGTGCAATGCATGCTGTCCAGCAGACTGGTCACGCAAGGGAGGCCACCGACAGAGAAGTTGCGAAGACGTTGCAGAGATACTTTCTCATAGCCATTCACTGACGCGCTCGTTTGAGCTGCATATCATGCCCGTGGACTGTGCCATGCGTCATGCCCCAACAGACCTTAAGAGTATTGATCTTCTCCGCAGGCAGTCTTGAACAGTCAATACAATCACGGGGAGTTGTAGAAGAGGATACCGAAAATGAAATTTGTGCTGTCAGCAAATCCAACAAAAGACCAGAGCAGCGCATGGCAGTGCAAGCCTTCTTTCCCAAGAGGACATCCGCGGCATTCGTGAACTGCTCACCAAGACCTAAAAACAGACCAGTCTTCACCAAGTGACTGCACAGCAACATGACATTTTCGGACCAGATTTCCCGAGTGACCGGCAACCATGGATAAAAGCGTGGAGTGATTCTGGCCCATCTCCCTCCGAGTCGTAGTTTTCGAAGTAGAAACCTGACAGATGGTGAAACCAGGTGAAACTGTCAACGCAGCAAGCTCGTTCTTGGGCAGTAAGACAGAAGAAACCGTCAGCCTTGCAGAAACATTCCTGGCCTGGGACCTGGTGCTCGCTTCCATCATGTAGCTGAACCTTCAGCCCGCCAGAGGCCGGATGCATGTCCTTCCCAGACGAAGCGGTGAAAGGCAGGAGAATTATTCACAGAGTCGCAGGAACAGGCCACAGGCCGCCCGTCCTCCCCGCTGTAGGTCACCACTCCGTCAGAGCCGAAGATCTTCATATCGATTTGCTTGGTTGAGCTCGCATAGGACCTTAAGGAAAACAGAAAGCCATCTGGGACCTAGACCCGAAACAACCTCAATCCAGCCTGTTCTTGTCAGTGGGTACCTTTAGAAGGCACTAACTCTTGGCTGGATTTGGATGCCTCTGACATTTGATCCAGCCCCCTCGTTGACGCGGGTCATGGCGGCCAACTGCACCATGCCCCTTTCGCAATCATCTTCGGGACGCCCGTCAGGAACAATAGCAGGGAATGCATGAATGTGCTCATTAGAGTAGCGCTGG